CATTTACAATAATTAGTACTTTAAAACGCCCTGTATAATTTGAAATGATAATAATTACAATAATTATACACCAAAATAATATGTCTTGTGTAATTTAAAATAATAATAATTAATCATCTATGACTATTTTTATGTACAAAATAATTGTCTAGAATGCTAAGCACATAGTAGACAAAGTCTCTAATACTCAATGTGGGGGCAAGGGTTATGTACCAAATTTGGGTGCCAAGTACCCACTTTTCAGTTTTTGTTTTTAAATTCTATTTCGTAGCTGTTATTTTTGGTCGAATCACTATCTACATTGGACATTATATGTTTTGCAATTGGAGTTTAGAAATTTTATTGATAGTATGTAGTTTATAGATTGGAGTTTTTCAATTTCATGGATATTTGGATTGTTTGACAGTGAGTTTTAGCCCATTTATATGGGAGACTCTGTCGAAATTTTTGTAGATATTTCTTTGTGAGGGCAATTGACTATTACAAATACATGTTGCAACTTCTATATTTGTAAGTGATTTTTGGTTATAAATTATGTCTTCATCTAGGTACAACAAGGTTGGGATACAAGCTTGGGAGGTTGTGTTTGGTACCTCTAGAATCCAAGCCACAGAAGTTGGATACATTCGAATTTGATACAAGTCATTAGGTAATTTATTTTATATTACAACTATTGGATCTTTGCTGTCGAATTGAAATAGTATAGTTTGTTAAATTTTCTTTTAGTAGAAAAGGGCGTTAGAATATGAAATACGGATTTATTTGAAGGCGAATTGATGGATTTAAAGTACTTTAATACGTCTTGTGCAATTTGAAATGACAGTAATGTGGATTGTTTGACAGGGAGTTTTAGCCCATTTATGGGGAGACTCTGTCGAAATTTTTGGAGATCTTTCTTTGTGAGGTCAAATGTCTATTACAAATACATGTTGCAACTTCTATATATTTAAATGATTTTTGGTTGTAAATTATTTCTTCATTGTGATACAACAAGGTTGGGATACAAGCTTCGGAGGTTGTGTTTGGTACCTCTAGAATTTAACCCACAGAAGTTTGCTACATTCGGATTTGATACAAGTAGTTACGTAACTTATTTTATATTACAACTATTTTTGCTTTGCCGTCGAATTCAAATAGTATAGTTTGTTAAATTTTCTTTGAATAGAAAAGGGCGTTAGACTATGAAATACGGATTTCTTTTAAGGCGAATTGACGGATTTAAAGTCAATTACCAACTTTGTAGTATTTTTTGTAATTGGCAATATCTATAATCCTAAAAAACTGGCAAAATCTACTATAGTTAAAAACATTAATTTTGTCAGGTCTATTGGTAGAATATCACATCATTGTGAATGTGGATCTTGTTATGCGGTGTCACTGTGGAGGCCAAATACATATAACTTCCCTTACTTTTCTTATACTTGTATTTTGAAAATTATAGGGTCTCTTGATAATATGTAGTGTGGCAATTGGTGGCATTACAACTTCATACTACTCCCTATTTGGATTGGTTGTCAGGGAGTTATAGTCTATTTTGTGGATTGGTCAAAAAGAGAGATTTATCCAAATTTTTAGGGGAGATTCGGTATCCAAATTTTTTAAAAATTTGTTTGGGAGTTTTAGGCTATTCATATCGTTATTTATAGCATATTTCATACTTGTTTTTAATTTTTCGATAAACATCTGGAATCGAAATGAGTCTATTTAATAGTGCCAATTTCGACCTAGAGTCCACCCTCTTTCATTTGTTTGGACTCTTGGACTACTAATTCTAATTTATTGTCCCCAAAATAGGGATTCATTTTACAGAGATGTCTGTAGACAGACCTCTCCGGATAAACCTATACTGGGGAGGAGAAATACATTACGAGGGTGACTTTGTTTGTTATTTGTCTCGTACTTCCAACCGGACATTCACTTTGAGGCATAGAATTGGATACGGGGAATTGGTTGACAGGATTTATCACTATATGGGGGTCGATAAAGGGATGTTTAAGCTGAAATTGTTTCTTCGTCAGCCGTTGGAGAGTTCCAAATATACTGTTTCGGCAGTGGTGGATGATGAAACTCTTGATGTAATGTACGATCTTTGGATCGAAAGAGTTTCATACATGGCGGAGATTTATATCGAGAAGGAAGGAATCGTTCAAATGCCTGTAGTTAATAGCGTATTCAGTGGACCAATAGCTAATGTTGGTCCAATGATGTCGCTTGTACATGCATTCATGGATCCAACAAAGTTTAACTTCGGTTCTAGTTCAGTCATTCCAGAGACTTCATCGGCATCTCACTATATGCATGATGATCGATCTATGGATTTATTAGAACCAAGGCTCACATCAGGGTCCATGGGTTCCCAGGAATATTTTCATGGCCTGGATTCGATTCCAAGTTTTGGAGATCCAGGGCCATCATGCCATATTTCTCCACAGTATTTCGAGACTAATCCTGGGCAAGGTTGTCGAAGTTCAGCTGAAGATGATCCGGAAGTTGATGCAGAAGAAGTTCAAGAGTCGGAGTCGGAAGATGTGTCTGGTAGTGACTCGGATGATGAGCATGAAGGTGGCGGTTTAAGAGTAAACTTCGATACCCAACAACCCTTTGTTGGGTATCGGGTTGCCAACACAGAATGCGGAGATATCAGACGTAACAGCACAGCTGGCAACTCCAGTTATGTTCCAAGAGGAATGACATTTTTCTCCGATCTTGGGAGCATAGATGATGCTAATATCGAAGAGGATGATGGATTGGAGCGTATTGTTACATTCAGCGAGGAGAATAATAATATACGTCTGCATATGAGGTTTGAGAGTAAGGAGCAGCTCAGCCGGGCAGTTAGGATGTGGTCCATCAATCACAATAGGGAGTTCAGAGTTATTGAGAGTAAGAGTAACACATGATTTGCTAAATGCAAATCATCAATTGAAAGAACTCGTTCCACTTCAACCGCGCCGTCGTATCCACCATGCGACTGGTGTGTTAGAGCCGTAAAGAAAAGGACTCATGGAATGTGGCAAATTACAAAATGGGTCAATGACCATAACTGTTTAGGCGACATGATTAGAAATAACACTACAAGCCTGACGGCTTCCGTTATTTCAAGGCACATACTCCGTACCATTGAAGATGATCTTGGATTAAAGGTAAAGAACATACTAAGTTTCGTTAAAGAGAACTTGAAGGTTGATGTGTCTTACAAAAAAGCCTGGTATGCCAGACGTAAAGCAATTGAGCTTGTGTTTGGATCTTGGGAACAGAATTTTGCCGAACTACCACAGTATCTCGATGCCATGTCTCAATCCAATTCAGGCACCGTGGTGGAGTGGTCGCATCATTCGGATAGTTCGGATCGAATTAAGACTTTTAAGTATGTATTCTGGGCCTTTGGACCGGCTATTGAAGCATTCCACATGTGCAGGCCAGTTATTTGTGTTGATGGCACTCATTTGCGTGGTGAATACAAAGGCAAACTCCTTGTTGCAGTCACTCAAGATGCGAACAACCAGGTTCTGCCACTTGCTTATGCCATAGTTGATGAGGAGACGATTTCCAGTTGGTCGTGGTTCATGGAACAATTAAGATATAATGTGGCACTTGATCGCCATCCTGTTTGTGTCATTTTCGATCGCCACAATGGTATAATCTATACCATGACACACTTTGACTATTGGGCCGAACCTTTGGCCTACCATAGGTTTTGCCTGCGACATGTTAGGAGTAATTTGATGACACACTTCAAAGGTTTACACCTTAGAAAGTTGTGTTGGGCAATGGGACGGGCAAGACAATTGTGCAAGTGGCGGATGTTTAGAAGAGAGTTACGAAGCTTGTTTCCAGATGCTTGGAATTATCTGTCTGTCATTAGTCCAGAAAAGTGGTGCCTAACACACGACGATGGCCATCGTTGGGGTATTCTAACTACCAACATATCCGAAAGTTATAATAATGTCTTGCGCGGGGCGCGCCATTTGCCAATTCGTGCATGCATTGGCATGACATTCCATCGGACAGTTGCGTTATTCCAGACGAGAAGGGAAGATGCCTCACACTGTCGCAATCCTTTTCCCCCAAAGATATGGCGTCGGTTTAGGAATGCTGAGAAGAAGGCGGGCGCCCACAGAGTCGTTGAATTCGATGGTCCATCGGGCGTATACAAGGTTATCACAGGCCGACGTGTCGATGGTAAAGGAGGCAATACGCAAACCGTCAGGTTTTTTGATAAGGCGTGCTTTTTCGGTAAGTGGCAGCATTACAGGCTTCCTTGTTCACACGCTTTGGCGGTGTGCAGGAATAGATGTGACAATTCGGGGTTGCTTGTGGATCAGCAATTTACCACCACGAGGTGGGCCGTGCAGTATTCAGGGAAGTTTAAGCCACTGCCGCATCAAGATACTTGGCTCCATCTTGGATGGGAGTTGCATGCAGACAGGAGTAAGTTTGTTGCACGTCGGGCAGGACGGGTTCGAGCTAGCAGAATTCGGAATGAGATGGATGAGAAGGATCCAGACGAACCAAGAAGATGTCGAAATTGTTTTCAGACGGGTCACAATAGGAGAAATTGTCCGAATTATAGGTCTTGATGTGATCCAGCTAGACGTAGGGTGCTAGTTCATTTGTTCTTGATGTGATCCAACAGTTTTATCATTTATAGCTACATCCCCTTTCCATACGCCTGTTGACATATTTGTGTCCAGGAATCCTCGGATGGTGTGTTATATGTGTTAATGCTCGTGCATTTGCGTGGTATGGTATTTTGATGTTTGATTGACAGGGAGTTATGGCCGCTTTATAGGGGAGATTTTAGTCAAATTTTCTGCAAAACTTTTGACATATGACTACAAATAGATAATTGCAGTATATGAATACATAGAGGGATAACGAATTTTCTGCAAAAAATATAACTGATTGCCATGGAGTTTTTGTCGATTTATAAGGGATATATGGTCAACATTTTCCCCGATAAAAAAAAGTCTTGCGACGCGATTGTTCGGTCAAAATTGTATACACAAACTATTGGAAAGTACTATATGTAATTACCAATATTTAATCGATGCAGATATTCAGTTGACACTATGGCCGACACTCCTGTCCCTCCCGGCCTACATCCAGGACCATACGTGCACGACATTATATCGGCGGGAACTCCACACCGGGCACATTCTATTTTTTACGGACATATTGAGGGCAATCAGTTAGATGTCAGGCGGTGTGACAGAGGATTTTGGGAGCATACGCCTATTCCTGATCGGGTTTGTCGTTATATTGCCTTGGTTGGATTTAAGGGGGTGCTTGAGAGTGGATATCAGATGGTTGATCATTCTTTGATCACAAGTTTGGTCGAGAGATGGCGGCCCGAGACGCATACATTTCATTTACCGGTTGGAGAAGCCACCGTGACATTGCAGGATGTAGAGGTGTTGTGGGGGTTGCACATCGATGGTCCACCGGTTACAGGGATAGACACATACCGCAGCATTCAGGAGTGGGGAGCCATTTGTGAGGAGCTCATTGGATTTTCTCCTGCAGTTGGATACTTTGATGGACAGAGACTAAAATTGGGATGTTTAGCAAGAGCTTTAGACACAGAATTGCCACCCGATGCTTCAGATGTCGAATGTAGGCAGCGTGCGCGCATCTACCTCTTACTGATATTATGTGGACATTTATTGCCCGATAAGTCCGGCAACAAAGTCCCTTTGTTGTATCTTCCATTACTGCGGGACTTGGAAATTGTTGGGCAATATAGTTGGGGTAGTGCGTGTTTGGCGACTCTTTATCGGTCACTTTGTGATGCTACGAATCCTGCCAAATCGGCTATTGCCGGTCCATTAGTTTTGTTACAGGTAGTTTCGATACCCGTCCAATAATAATATGTTTTGTGATTTGGTCATATTAACAAGTGCAATTTTAACTTTGATTCTAATTTTCTAACAGCTCTGGATTTGGGAACATATACCAACCATGCGTCCGGACCGAATCGCGCCGTTGGAGCATTATCCTGGTCCATATGGAGCTAGGTGATGCAAACATAAATTCGCCGATACTACTTTTTTGGTGACACTTGTATTGCAAACAACATAAATTTGTTCTAAATAGGTTCCTATTTTATTAAATATAGGTGGAATAATGACTTGGACGTACACAGAGTTGTTAGGCATGTTGTGCCTGCTTTCCGAGATCAGTTGACAGGCCTGCGTCCTGAAGAGGTATTGTACATATGTCTTGACTATATTAATGAATGTGATAAGTTGTGCCAGTCGCCTTGTCATAATAGTGCTTGTCAACTGAAAGCACAAGTTGTATGAGTGCAAATTTTGAATGGAAATTGAGTTTGTTGGCAGGGAGTTAACCTCCAATTATAGGGGAGACTCTGTCGAATTTTGTTTCATAAATTCAAAAATTTGTTCGATACCCAATCGACTAGCACTTTTTTGATATGTTGTGTCCAAAGTGCTTATTGAAATGTTTTATTATTATACAAAAGAAAAAATGAAACAAGTATGATATTGTATTTTTTTCAGTTCGTATGGCAGCCCTATCAGAGGACGTTCTCGCTTCTCTTCCTGCGTATTGTACTGCAGGTGCGGACATTTGGAGGTCCGTAACGTATCTTATTTGCTGGGATGTGGTTGAGCCGCACCTCCCTCATCGGGTTATGCGGCAATTTGGGTTTCATCAGTCACTGCCTGATATGAGGCTGACAGATAATCAGGCAGCTCTACATTCTCTGGATCGTCGTGGTAGGGCGAATCAAGACTGGAGCACCACGCATGGACACTACATTGATATTTGGACTGATCGACGTGTGCATGTACAAGATGGCACTATAATTGAAGATACTACATATCCATCGGATGAGTATGTTCAGTGGTATCGGGAGCGGACGGTGATTTATATTTCAAATCCAAGTCGATTTCCCGCTTTTCCAGTGGGTTTTCAGGGGGATAGCGCTAGGGCACAATATCTTGTAAGTTTATTTCCAGCCCAACAGTTTTAATTTCGTCACTTTGAGTTTGCTCGCTTTTTTAACTGTTTCTTACCACAGTATCTCCTTCTTATCCCCGATTTGTTTGTTTGTCGAGAGCGATGCCATGTCTCGCATGTATTTCATGGCACAGGACTCTCTTGCAGTTAGTGATGAACAACACAGTAGATATTTTCAAGAGTTAGGCGACTTTGCATCCACATCTTTGCATCATGTAGGAGAGTCACGCCGACTTGCATTTCGCCCTCCACACGTACCACAGGAAATTCCGCTATATGCTGATCCGTGTCGTGTGCAGCGAGCTCCTAGAAATACCCGCAGAAGTCAGCATGGCGGTGGACGACGTCGTAGACTCCGATCACCAGATCCCGCCATACAAACTGAATTCCATGGAGGTTCGATTGCTACTGAGGACCAAGCTGGCGCATCTACTGTTCTCACACCTCAGACAGAAATCATGCACGAGAGAGGTGTATCGATTGGACATTCTGTATCCCCTATGACTTTCCCAGAGTTTACGCCCGATAGGGACTCACATCAGCATACTTCGGGGCAATGTCAAGGAGGTGAAGGTACAAGCGCTCAAATTCACCAAGCTACACTGTTGGCACATATTACTCAAGGCCATACAGTAGTGCCAAACCAACCACGTCAAAGTCGAAGAATACCGAAACCAACAACATGTGGTACTCATGGAAAACTTGGGCAGCATTGATGGCATGCTTTTGACTATCGTTATTGTATAAATAACCTAACATATGGATCCACATCTTTTTTGGTGACATTTTGTATATATTGTGAAATTTCACGAATAACTCATGTTTTAGTACCTTATGTTAATTTGGTGTGCTTTTGTGGGTTTCATAAGCGTTTTAGTTAATTTGAAATTTTTGTGGTATAGAGTTGGCAATTGGTGGCAAGAATGACCATTTGAGGTTAAAAAATGCGAACTGTAATCAATCCACTTAACCCCTTCATTTGCGTTAAAGGTGTAGTTCATCCATCTAAAAGGGGTAAAATGCATGTTTTTATCATTTGACAAGTGCGCACATTGATAAATTTTCGAAACGAATGATCTATGATGCATTTTGAGTGATTGGGGTACCAATGGTAATTTTGCAAACTGAATTTTCTGCACAAAAAATTGCAGAACAAAACGCACCAAGCATGAAAACGCGCTTCGAAGGCGTGTTTTCATCAAAACGCGTATCAAATTCTGCAACGACAATGAAGAAAACGTGCTAAGAAACGCGATTCGAAGGCGCGTTTTCCAGCAGTCGCGTTTTCATTCCCGCAAGATTTGTGCAAAACACGCGACTTATGAAACGCGATTCGAAGGCGCGTTTTCCAGCAGTCGCGTTTTCATTCCCGCAAGATTTGTAAACAAAACGCGACTTATGAAACGCGATTCGAAGGCGCGTTTTCCAGCAGTCGCGTTTTCATTCCCGCAAGATTTGTAAACAAAACGCGACTATTGAAACGTGATTCGAAGGCGCGTTTTCCATCAGTCGCGTTTTCTGTGTCCAGATATAGCTTCCAAAAAACGCGATTTCGGTTCATTTTCTTCTTCCTCTCATGAAATTGCAGACGCGTTTTTCCTCTCCCTTTCTACCCAACTCACAAATCTTCATTTTTACTTCATAATCTTGCTAGAAATCATCAACCCAACACCTTTTGAGCTTCATACACCCTTTTTAACCGATTAAAATTCAAGCTAAACACCTAAAATCAGGTTTTTGAGGGATTCAAAGTTAGGGTTCTTAAGCTCTAATTTCTTCAATTGGAGGTCAATTGGAGGTTGTTTCATAGGGCTTTTGACATTTTTAGTATCACCAAACTTCATTCTACGTGATTGAGGTAAGTTTCTTCATCAAATCTTTTGATTTTAGAAAGTCATATTTTTTATCCTGAGCTATCTGACATCTTTTAATTTCGAAAATTTGATGATATTTATGGCTATTTTTTATTTTATTCATGCTTGCTAAGATTGTTTAAGCATGTTTATATGTTTTAATGTAGCAATTTATTGGTTTCGTAGTGATTTAAAATTTACAATTGCTATATTTGGGGGAAATTGAAAACTGGATTTAGGATGTTTTTGAGCTATTGGTGATAATTAATTATGGTTAAGAATGGTTAGTTGATGATATTTTAGCATGTGCATTGTGTATAGTGAGTAATTTGGTTGATTCGGTTTCTTAATTGGTTTAATTTTTGCCTAAACATGATCATACCTAAAAGCATATTATTATTGTTAATTCTAAATATTTATAATCATACTTGTTGCTATTTTCACAAATTGGGTTACAATTATTCCATATCTTGTTTTTATTGGTCATTTTGAGCTCTTTTTGGCTGGAATTATGGGTCGTCTTGTTCGGACCTTTACATTTCTTAATCGACGAATTATCACTTGAAGGGACAAATTGGAGATTATTTGGATCGTTTTAGGATATTCACTCCCTATTTGTGAATTGTGTGAGAATACATGTGGTTAATTGCAACATTTTCTTTTAGGTACTATGCCAAGGGGAAGGGGAAGGCGTGTGATAACTTCATCCTCAAGTAGTGAGGAGAGGGAAGTTAATGAGGAGATGGAGGTGACTGAGGAGGAGAATTCACCTTCTCCTCCACCAGTTAACCGTCGACCTGGTGAGGGCACCTCCCGTGGAGCGGAAAATTCGGTATATGACAGTGCTAGGTTCAACACTCGCCGGAATCAGGAGTGGCATGAGGCGCGTGCTAATTTGGTGTTTTTGTTCGAGATGCACGTCAGTCCACCAGTTGAGTTGATGTACAACATCTCAGATTCTTTTGCTCAGCTAGGATGGGCTCCGATTCTAGTCCTACCAAACTATTACTACCCCGACTTGGTGCGAGAGTTTTATGCCAACATTGAAAGTAAGGCGCGCCATAGTGGAGAAATAGTTGAGTCCTGGGTGCGTGGAAGACGAATCACCTTGTCACGTCAAGATTTGGCCGCTATTTTGGGGTGTATGGATGACGGACGTCCGGTAGATTTGAAGAAGGGGTTTGTTCCCCCGAATAGGAGATGGGATCCCTCGTTGGCCATGGCTAGGTTTGGTCTTGAGTACCAACCTTTTCGATCTACAAGGAAGGAGACCATAGTGGCGAATGTGTTCGAACCTCGTCATCGTCTTATCATTTATATGATGGCTCACAATGTCATCCCAAAGAAGACGGGCCACACGGAGGTCCGCAAGAGCGATATCTATTTTTTGGATTACATGTTCCATAACCGGACATCTCCATATGCTCGAATTTCATTGCCTAACATCATCATCAGCCACATTAGGTCTACGGCGAGGCGTAAGACAACTAGTTTCAAACTATCATTTCCTCGTCTACTGACTTTAATCTTCCGGCGTTTTGAGGTCCAGTTGGAAGGAATGCGGCGGGAGATTGTTCCACCACGGGCTGAGATGACTATCACTACTCTTCGCCGCCTTGGTATTGGCATTCCAGGCCCTGTTCAGGAGCGGAGGCAGAAGGCTAGACATGGTCGGGATGAAGTTGGACCATCTACTGCAGCACCACCTCCTCCTCCACCGCAGACTAATTGGCAGCGACTCTTTGACCATATCGATAACTTTGCTTTCCAGTTAGCTGACGTTAGGAATCGTCTAAGCCGAATTGAAGATCATTTGGGCATTCATCCACCACCCAATCGTGATGCAGAGGATGACAATGATGCCGAGGGGGATGACTGACATGGCGCACTGCAGAAGCTAGCTTTATTTGGTGGATTTGCTTGCCTAATTATCTTAACTTGTGGAACTTAAGCTTTTTAACTTCATTTTATTTTTTCTGTTTTTTATTTGGTAGGCACTTGTATTTGGGCAGTGGTTCGTGAATAGTGGCTGATAAGGATCTCAACCATTGACTTGGCGGAAACTTCTTTCTTTTCTTTTCTTCTTTTGTTTCATTTCTTCCCTACACATTGAGGACAATGTGTAATTTAAGTGTGGGGGGAGAAATATGTGTGGTACTTGTGGTTTTAGTTGTATTTCATATAATTGTTGTGCTTAAATTGTATTTCTTGTGGTTGCTGGCAGGGAGTTTTAGTCCACTTTAAGGGGACACTCTGTCAAAATTTTTTCAAAACCTTATACATATATATGTTATTAACCATAATAAATAAATAAATTTTTTTCACTTATCCTTTTGAAATAAATATATATAGTTTTGAAACTTCTTTTCTCATTCAATTTTGGGAAATGATTTTTATGTGATTATAATTTTTACATCTATAGGAAAGTATATCTAGTAAAGTGGACAAAATTATGCCTACATTTTGCACATTTGATGAAAATTCTTTTTTTTTATCTTATTTTATAAGTTAAGAAATTAATATGGTCAATAAGTGTCATACTTTTCTCATGATTATTCTTAGAGGGAATTTTAGTATATATACACCAAAATAAAAAAGGGTTATTCTACTCCAAATGTTTTTGTACTTAGTAACCGGGAGTTTTCATCTACAAATGTCGACTTTCGCGTAAAACGATACTTAAATTAAGAGTATGAAAAGCAACTTCAGTATGTAAAATGTTGAGTAACCGGTGATTTTCATCTAAAAATATCTACATTCGCATCAATTGTAAACAGTAAAAAACGCAAGATTTATATAATTTTTTTAAATAGCATTGCGTTATGAAAATTCTAAAATTACAATAAAAAAATTGTTATAGATATTAATGACTATTAATTATTACATTTTTATAACTAATATTCATGGGTGTCAACAAATAAATACGATTCATTAATAACAAAGGAAAATTAGAATTTGATAAATAAATTTATTTCATAAAAAGGGATCAAAAGTTAGTACATTTAATTGTACATTTTTTTAGAGCTCGTAAATTTCATTTTAAATTTTTTTTTCTACCAAGTTTGAATTTATTTTTCTAAAAGTCATACTTATAAATGCGAAATCTAACACAAAAATTAAATACAATTTTTGGAGGTCAAACTTATCAAATGCGAGCTATTTGAAAAATTTTTTAAAAAAACATTTAGGACATCGCACTTAGCACTTACTATTTTCTTGAAAAAATTCTGTCGCTCCCAAAAAAAACCAAAATATTTAATTATACATAGTGTCTTTGAGCTCGCGAATGAAATGGGAGCTCAATAAGTTGA